TAGCATTTTGGATGCGAATAAACTTAAAAATAGTTTCTTTTTCAAAGCACAAAAATATTAAAAATCTGATAATCATCCAGCAAAATATGAGTAACAGTTTTACTAAATTATGTGCTTTTCAAAGCGATTTAACGTAGCATGTCTAAACATATAAATAGCAAATGTAAACCCGACTAACTAGAGAATTAAAATCTCAGCTCGTGCTGATACACACACACACACCAATCATTTAATATAATAATACTAACTGCGCCATTTTCTGTATCGTTAAAAGGAATACAATGTCGTGATTTCAATGTCCAGATCTATTAAACGTTTCATGATTGTATAAAATAGCGTCCAAGGGTTAAAGTAGCTGTGTGTTAAGCGGCGCATTCCCTAGCTGCTATATAGCATCCTGCATCTTGTGCTAGAATAGTTCAGTAAATTAGATTACGACCAAGTTAGAATTAACAAAATAAAGTTATATCCTACACAAATGGTTATTATATTGTAAGTAATGTTATTATGCTATACGTTTTTAAATCACAAAATGTTAGACTACTGGGAATTTTTAAAGTACAAATTTATCACATTTTCCCAGAGTACAGCAATCTTACTAAATGCTTAGATCGTTCTTTTAATCGACTAATGTTATACAAAGGTAAGACTTTATTTACACATATTTGGAAAATATTGTAACTAATTTAAAAAAAATTCTACGAGTAGTAAAAAGTTCAAAATTTCTGACATTGATGTAATTTAATTTCCTACCTTTTTGAATCCACTAACTTATTGATTTTAATATTTATAATCTTATCCCACTATGTATTGATAATGTTATTCACTGAATGTATTAGAACTTTGTGGTAGTATAGCGGAGTATCGGTGACAGGATCACAATTTCGAATTAAAATCGTAATTTTTAACAATTGATGTGCCTAAGTGTAATACATACTCTATTACGATATAAATGTATATATTATCAATATTTGTATAGTTACCATATTTATTAAAAGTCTCAGGATGGTTTTTGGTTACTAACATTGTGGCATTGTCAACAAATTTATGACTACCTACGTTGTATCTATTAGCATATTGCCTAATTGCAAAATGTATTTTGAGACAATAACTTCTTTGCATAAAAAATATCTTGTGCACATTTCTTTTTCTAAATATTTCTCATGGATCAAAAAGAAAACAAATCGTTTGCTTGCCTTCGGCTTTGATGATTTATATTCTTGATGTTTTCGAAAAATGGCCCGAGTTGCAAATACATAAGCAGTAACTTCTATAAAAATATTAATGTACTGATTAGTGGGTAATTTATAATCCAATTAGAAGTTTTTTACTTGATTCACTCAGCTATTGTGTACTTCAAATGACACGTAGTAATGATGATACTAGAAATGTAGATATATTATTGAATCTTATATGTAGCACGCCACATTGGTCTTTTTGCATTATAATTCAGACTTATATTGATTGGGTATTAAAAATTGAAATGTATTAAGTATATAGATTTATTAATCATGTATGTAGCGACGTCAGACATGTTGCGGCGTTTGAATGTACTAATTGGTAATCGTGTATTCTTTGTAAATCATCCATAATCGCCGTGTACACGAAATGATGGGTAACCGGGTAGCTGTGTAGACTTGATTGTGATATCAGTAAACATTTTCATACGAGCATCCAAATAATTTGTTTCATTTTTATTACCATTTTTATTTATCGTGGAGTGCAGACCACTTCTGCTGCAGGCTCAACTCATTGGACAGTGGAACAATGACCAACCAATCAAAGCGAGCCACATTGTGTAACTGTGCCTGGTTACAAGTCCAATCTTCCCAGTTTATTTATAGGAAAGGGTCTAGTTGAAAATTAGCGTCAGCGTCACTGACAAATACTGAACTAGATGCTTTTTTGACACAGGCATGGGGCACTGCTTTTTATTTTAAACTTTTTTCTGTATGTTTGTTTTTATTCCACTATATCTTATATATGTGTTGAATTAATGAATTTGAAATTGAATGTGTACCAATTAAAAAGTGTATGTAATTTGTCAATGAAAATTATTTTGTCACCTACTTAAGAACACTGCGCACATGGATTCCTGTCCACAGGATAAAGCCAATATAGTCTAATAATCAAAGCAAAACATGAGTTTGTATTTGATCCGCTTCGTCCGTAATTTGTAAATATGTCATGATCAGTCTTATGTCTTCATTGTTGGGGCCCAAGCTTTCTCTATGGATGCAACCATGCGCAGGCCCTACTGTGGGTTGGCGAGTGTTAATGACTCCAGTTGCAGCCGCGGGACCATTGGCTTAATGTGCAATCCCAAGTACGGAGCCTCGAAAAATGTTGGTCACCCATGCTATGACACGGCCTTGTTTGCTCGACCTTCGCATCACAGACTGAGTACGCTAACCATTGCGCTATCGAGTATACCGTGAGTTAATTTGCGTTGTCACACAATTGGTGACGAAACGGCGGCAGGTAACTCGATTACAACGCAGTTAGTCGAAACTATTTTGGCAATCGAATTAATTCTTATTAAAATATTCCATAATTATGATCTTACGCTATAACTCTAAAAGCATGATGTGACCATATAAGCATTACCCAATATCAGTTGTATAAAGTTTAATTACGTATGAGGTTACATGTAAATTAGATGCTTAAATTGCCACCATTTTTCAATAATTATACCGTTTCAAGGCTGCAAAATGATAAGAGAAAATCAGGTTGGAATCAGAAAACTAGCGGCATTGATAAATCTTCATATTGTTTAATTAATCCAATTCATTAGTTCACCTCTTCGTTTTTCAATATTTAAATTCATAGCTGTCCCAAGGCCTTCTTCAAGGTCCTCATCAGATCCATCAATATCAGACTTATTATTACAAGTAGGAATCGAACCCACATAAAGGAGATGCTGTTACTGAGACTTAACCAGGATATAGGGTGTTCATAGGAGAGGTGAATAAAAAAACGTGTACAGTGAAATAAGCTTTTTTATCTAAATTTAAGTTTCATACACTACATAATATAATAATATACGCATACACAATGATATTGTTGTTAAACTCATTGCGCATACAGTATTAAAATGTTAATAAATTTTACCGAATATTTACACAGTTTTATCGCCCAATTAACGTGTACAATCATTCAGAAATAACACACTGTTCTCTATGTAGGGCTAGAAACACCGAGTAATATATGAATGACATAATGTGATCTTACATAATCTTTGAGTTCAGGTGAACATAGACATGTACATAATATATTGCCTCTGAAGCTTACTTGAGATATATATATGCATATATATATATATGAATATATTAAATATTTTTTGTGTATCCCTCAGAGGTTTCTTATAAATAAATACACGGTAGTGCACTAATATACAGTGTGACGAAACCTCTCCTATCTCAGCTACAACACAATCACCAAACTCAGTCGATATATTTTCGTATCAACACAAATACTTATTAAATACAAATCGCGTTACCAAAAAATTATTACATTGATGTATTAAATTACTTCTCATCAAGATGTTCACGCATTCGCCTGGGATACAGCGCTTGATACTTAATCGCTCCAGCAAAATTTATTTAAACAAAAATATTAAATATGGTACATTATGTTCTGAGATCATATTTAATACATCACAGGTGTTAAGAGAAAAAAAAATTGTTAAAATTATATAATGAAGTGAGGGGACACTTCAGAATGGCGCGAACAGACCGCCATGTTACTTGGCACAACAAAATATCCGATAGAACTATTTTTTACACAACAATTTTTTTTTAATAAATCACGTGTGATACCACAAACGGAATGTTAAGCCAGAATTAATACAACAGAATATAGCTTAATAATATAGTAGCTACAGTAGATAGCTAGTATGCTTATAAATGCCTACACGTACACGTTTGCATTAAAGCAACTATAAATGTTGTATTAAGATTCTATATACATAAAACATGGTATATGATTTGACATTTTTTCTCTTGCAATTGAGAAAGAGGTTGTAACTGACTTCATTTGGAATTTTAGGAAAATTTAAGTTGCATAATCTGATTATCTTTCAAACTTTCTACTAATTTGCCTTAATTTTAAATAGAGTCAGTTTGCTTACAATACTAATAAATAATGCTTACTATCCGTTATCATAATTACTTATAAACCATTTTAAAAAACCATAATTATGCTTTTGTTTTGCTGACTATACCACTCATATATTCGCATCTGTTTGTGGTACCACACAACAACATAATAATTCATAATGAGAAAAAACACGTCAAAATTTTCTAATATAAATTGACAAAGAGTAAACTTTCCTAGGTCACATTAAATAACGCCTTTAACAGCATTGTAAAAATATAGTCATAATAATCTGTAATCAGTCCCGTTAAATCGAAAGTTCATTTTCTATAATTTCATTTGTAGAATGAAGTCATTACCAGCTTACAAAAACCCTTTGGCTAGAAACCGCTGATAAAATAAATACAATTTTCGTTGTACACATAAAAAAAAAATCATACACAAAGTATGGTCAAATGTATTGTAGAACGAATGAAACCTAATATAAATGTATAAGTAGAGTTAATATTAGATGAAATTGATGGTTTATCTTTTTTTATTTTATTTGAAACCTGAACTGCGATCCTTCGACCTAAACCAGTGATAATTTGTACTTTCAATAAAGGATCGCAGTTAATGAAACCGATATGAAGTCTAATATTGCCCATTCTTCACCAGGAATGTTCCAGAAACTCTCAGATATAACTCCGTTAGTGGGGTTTTCCAGAAATTCCCGCTGCGTTTACAAAGCCAGATTTCTAATGAATCTAGAACACCCTCCTTTTAGGGAGATATCAGCGAATGGTTTCTAGAATATTCCCTCTTTAGATAATAGATCGTGAACACTACTCAGCTCATGTGTTACAAACATTCTATTCCGGAACATCACTGGGTGACAAAAGTTTAAAAGAAAACAATTATCAATATATTGATAAAGATATAATCCATTATAATACAACAACAAAACATATATAATTTGTAATAAGAGTAATATTGTTTAAACACAAATACTCAATTCAAATCATTAAAAATTAGAGGTTGCCGCTCATTATCATTTATTATATTTATATCATCGCAAAGTTTCTGTTACTAGTGAGGTAACGGATTGGTTCATTTACATTTGAGTATTTGTATTTCGTATACGCTAAAACACTGTTCCTACCATGTTCTTCAAAAAACAATTTGGGTCCAATCTTTTGTATTACGACCAGCTGTAATCTTTTTTATCTTTCTCGTGCTATATCAACGAAAACGATAAAAGAGATAATCTAGTTCGAGTTTTTGGAAATACTTCGAAAATGCTCCAATGGTATGCAGTCAAAATTTGATTCCGACCTATCAATTTAGCATTTTCAAGGTATTTACAATTTAATGACAATAGAGAATTTAACATTCTTGACAAAGAGAAATAACACCCAAAACTTATTAATTAACCTGAAATCTTAGCACTAATTACTGTTATACTTAACCATAATTATGTCTAGGCGTCAAAAGAGATCATAAAACTTATAAATAAATCTATAAATATTGTAAATATTGCAAGAGGTTTGTTTGTTAAGCGGTTTGTGGTTCAATTTCATGTGTTCCGTGCGCTGATTGTGAGAAGCATTGAGCAAAACATTATTATGATGGGATGTGATAGGACAATGGAGAAAGTAAAAATCTATTAAAAGCTGTGTCGTTATAAAACCGGTTGATCCATTATGCATAGATCGTAACTACAGTATAGATTCTTAATTTAACCTTGGTATAAAGTTTCGAAACTATCTTAAAAAATACTTAACTTTAAATAAATTGTTCTCCGCGCGAAAACAATCACATTCAAAATAAATAAAGAAATAAAATAAATTTGCACAATGTTTGTCCAACCCAACCTACCTAAGTTTTGAATTTTGGTGATTTTCGTTTTCCCAATAAAGTTTTAGGAATACTGCGTACTGCATTGAGGATATATTATTTTTTGGTGTACTTGATAAACATAACATGTAGTTAGAATCTATTTTTTAATCGAGTTGATATTTTGCGGCAAGTATTTGTCTGTTGGTCGAGTGTTTTGGCATGAGTGGGCCTAGCTGGGCCGCTTGAAGTGTGCGGGCGTAAGACGCGCGACTTTTGGTGGGCGAATATGAGCTCTGTGACCACACTCGTGCTTGTGCGCGGGGGATTTCTTGCCGCCATTTGATAACCGCTTACGTGGTTTCAGGTAATCTGGAAACAAAGAAAAATAATAATTAGTCAGGTAACATACATTTTTATTTTAAAAGGGTTATATATTCAACAAAATAAAATGAAAAACTTTATGCGTGTACACGAAATTGCAATTAATAACACTTTTACGAGTGTCGAAGTCGTGCTTGAGGGTGAACCATTGTATGCATCTTGTTACGATGTATAAAATTGCTCCATAAAAACAGAAGGCGTGCCCGACGAAATTGGTAAAATTTTACGACTTTCAAAATGGAGCGTTCGTTAGCCCGGATGCCTGCATAGGGTACTGCACATTATGGTTTGACGTTTTTACGACTTCATCTATGGATAGAACATAAAAATTCACCTACAATGCTCTCAGGCCCCGGACTCTTTTGACAGCTACGCTAGGAGGCGGCGACATTCTTTGTAACCATTTCTAATTTTGAAAAATTATGACCCTAATATCCATAAAAGTTTTACGAGACTTTTACTACTGTTTAATCTGAATAATAATGGTTATAGAACTGTGAGTTACGGATGACTGTGGGATGATTGGTAAGCTAGATTATCGGATTACACAAACGAAATTTTTCATAGGTATATAAAATAAATTATATTATGTATAAAGAAAATAACAGAAGCTAAAAATCATTGATAAATCACTCACTAATTTTATCTGTAACGGACAAAAAAGAGTTAGTAACAAGCGATGCGCCCAAGGTCAATTTGGACTATATGTCATGGTGTGTGTTAATAATATACCTACCTAACATTGGTAGTGGTGTAAGTATGAGAGACAGAGGCAGAGCAAACTGATAAACGCTATATTGTGCAACACGAGTCGTATGCTCGATGTACGTAATACAATAGCCAATAATAACACCAAGTTGGGTTGCAACATTAAAGTAAGATAATGGTATATTTATTCGATATAGTGAATATGACAAGCCACGACAGATTGCTGATGTTAAAACAAGTGGTAATATTTGAGAATAAATTGCAGCTTTATGTTCTGATATAAAAATTTATTCCTATGGTTCTGCTCACAATGTTAATTTTAAACATAGCAATTAATTAGGTATTATGGTCACAGGCAAATCAAATCATTGAAGACACGAATAAAGATAGACCTTGAACATTTAGTAAAGTAATAATGAGTAACCGTCTTTGAATGTTGGATTAATAATAACATGTCCGAATGCCGGCATCGGAAAAAAACCTGGCGTCGGTTTTGTGCAGTCTGGAACTATGTCAGTGACGTCACGAGACTTCAAGGCCGACTGGTAGAACAGGCCGATTTCCCGCCAAATTTAACGCAAATACTAACACGTGGATGTGTCTATTATTGAACTTCAACCATATTTAGAAATTTACTAAGCGGAAATGTGAAAGAGTGGATTGCAATGCCGGATTCACGACAAACAATACATTCCTTGGTCTAATGTTAGTTTGTGGTATTTATATGGTGAGGAGTTCCAGCATAACAAGTGTGGCTCACAAGCTAGCGAGAGAAAATACTTTCACGTGGTTACGCAACCGTCTCCCGCCAAATGTTCAATGAAGCGTTTCCCGCGTTTTTCTTGTGTATGCTTTAATACAATACAACTGATTTAAGAAGCGCCCGCAAATAGATCGGTGGATTTGGAGGCGTGCTCTATTTACAGTGGTCGGGTAGCGCAGCGCGAGGGCACGTAAACATGCGTAAATAAAATGGCCTTGGAGTAAGCGCGTGCGCTGGGCATGGACGTTTCTGCGCAAACAACTCATTTCTTATCATAATTTTTATCAATTATTTAATAATGTTTATGGCTTACATAGTAAATTCGTAATATTAAATTATTAGGATTTTATTGTATTAATATTTAAGTCGTGTTACCATATCGATATATTGTCAGCTATTTTAGCATTTATCTACCAGAACCAAGTTTTGTCATCTGACTCACATATTCACAATGAGATATAATACACAATGCACGATATTCTAAATCAAATCACAAATGAAATAAACTAACGACAATATTTGAGTGCTCAGTTTAGTATCGAACGGAGAGTTTATTTCGGTCGACCTAAATTTCTGTGCGCGCTCTGCTCCGAGTAGTCAAATTTAATTTTGTTTACCGCACCGCACTCGGCATATCGATTTTACAACACAAAACTCGTATTTTAAACCGTCGACGAGTTATTTAGACAATGTGCTCGTGCGATTTGTTAAATCAACATAATTCTAAAAGCAAAAATCAAGCGGCTACTCTAAGTGTGAACTTGTTAAAAAATACAAGCCTGCGTTTTGGATAGTAACAAGTGCTCGAGCGTAAAGAATGCGTTGCAATCGAAGGTCGCCTCCGCTGGTCTCGCATCCGCAGTATTGCATGACGGGAATATTTTAACTTTATACATGGTAAAAAACAACGAAGCGTATAGAAACGAAAGGATGTTTCCCTTTCGGGGGAGCGTTCTGGATCCTGATTTAGCGTCTAATTCGATTTTTTTGTGAGTCACGCGTCACGGTGGCGACGCGGTGCCTCTGCGCGATGTGATTGTCAGTTGCCTTTCATCCCGCCGCTCGGCCGAGTGCAGGAAACAAGAACGCATCACTTGAATAGATAATCGTGAAGCACGTCGTCATGAGAACACGACTACTTGTCTACCTTTACCCCCGGCCGCCGTGTTCACAATTATTATGTGTTCATTACGACCCACAAAATTACACCACTCGGAGAACCGAAATTGCTCCGGCGCATTATGACCATTGTCAATGAATGGCCTCGAGTGTTGAAAATTCTTTATAAATGTTGGCCAAATGTCGTGGAAATGACACGGCACAGCCGTGGCTATTAACGCCGACAATACAAAGAGGATATATATGATTGCGTGGCTATAATAAAGCCACGCCACGCAAGAGTTACTACGTATAGAGAAGGAGAAAGCAGTTCAACTCGATGGCAATCTGGACTTTGCTTTAGTCATAAACTTTCTTTGATGGCAATAAACGAATTGAAGCGGCCATAAGTATTGTATCATATCTATCATACGATTAAAAACGAGTTATTTAGTAATAATCTTATAAACACGCTCCATCCATTGCTCCTGACTAATGTTGTCTGTGAGTCATTTCGACAGGTTGGAACATGTTCGCGTCTTTCCATACTCCTTAATCAAAAGTATTAAATGCCCGATCGATTAGTTGTGTAGTAAATTAATAGGAACGCACAGGTATTGATTGTAAAGGTACAAACGTTACTTTGACAATTGCCAATAAGTGTATCCTTTAGTATCAGTATATAAGGTTTATTATGTGTAGGGAATGGATTTGTGAAGTGTGGGCGGTGTTCGCGACCAAACAGGTTGGCTCGCTGCTCTAAACGTATGCCGTGGAGCCTTTTATTTTGTTCTCTTAAAAATTAGGGCTGAACGAATACAAAACATAAACAATGATTAATTATTCATAATTTAATTACCTTTACATTAATTGAGTCAGAAAAAAAGACAATTAATAATGTATATAGATACTAACTAACCGTGATGTAAAGAACGATCGAATAATACAAAACGTAATTTAATATTATAAGAATTCGTAAAATAGACGTGGTTTTAAAAATGGTATCAAAGAAACCCTTTACTTATTTCCCTACAGCTGCATTGGCAGGAAACATTATGTTATACAGTAGGCGAAAAGCAAATCCCGTCCGCTTGCATTGTGATACGAACCAGTTCCGAAATATCTAGGCCAAGAGAAAGGCGACTTGATGTCAAAACTTAGTGCGACTGAGCCACGTTTCATCATTGTGGCCGAAACAAGAATCGTAGTTGAGGAAATACGCAGCCCTAAAGAGGTCCTAGTACAACTGGACGCTGAGATAAAAAGAGAAACAAAAAACTAATCCCGAGCAGCTCTCGTGCATAGCTATAAAGCGTGTATATGTATAGTTGTTTGGACTCTCAGCTACTGGTTTTGAACGTGGCAACCTAAACAAATAAGTGACACGCATCCAGGTAGCGTGCATTGTATACCGCTCTTAACATTTGTTAAATATTATCTGATATCTCCTTGTATTGGAGGGGTCCCGTTTTTTGTTACCGATCCACTAAATGAAGCAGAAGATCTATTGGTGCTATAATTTATTTATAACACGTAACATTATGTTGTGATAATTTCGCAACAATTTCACCGCAGAACAAAGCACTGTAAAACAGGAAACGGTATTGTTGAGCCACAGTTACTCATTCATTAGTGAGTCAGAGAACGCAAGTGTCCTGCTTGCAAGTTAATTTATTAACCCATTTAGGTGTAACAGTGTTTCACGGACATTGTCATTTTCAACATAAGCCTACTAGAATTCAATGCGTAGATTTCTAGATAGACCAGTTTTATCTAAATCTGAATTCATTGGTGAAATACTAAAACCTGTTTTCTGGCTAGAACCTAAGTTTCTTCGCTTGTAACTGCAATTATACAGATCTAATCTCGCAAACAGGATGTTTTAAATTGAACATTTTATTTAACATGGGAGTTTACAGGTTAGATTACCTGCCATGTTTATTTTTTGCTCTTTGCAAGATTTTGGTTCGTTCTGTTGAATTAGGAATGTTTAAGTTTCTGTTTAGCAGTGGTCTATTTTCAAATCGACTCGGATGTTTGAGGATATGATTTATATGGTAAAAAGGATTGAAGCTGATGCGAGAGTTGCAGCACTGTTGACATGTTTTGTTTACACATGTTCAGGCAGGGTGAGAGTTTTCGCATGCTAATGATATTTTAGCTAAATAATACGATTAACACAGGTCGCTCTTTAGATGTGTCAGTTTCGGACAAATTTGTTGTATTTATTAATATTTTTTCATTTTATAATTCGATGTGGTATTAGGTTTTTAAAAATCAAGTTTTTGAAACTATAAAATATATTTAAAAAGATAAAATCGTAAAAGGCCCGTAGTTTGTCGGTCACGTCATTGTGAAAGTAAGAGAAATTATGCCATTTGTAGCGGTACAGCGTCATTTAAAGGTTTATTTTTTATTT